GCTGCTTTCGGGCGTCGAGGTGCTCGTGTTCTCGGGTTGGCTGGCATGCTGACGGGGGCGCTTGCGGCGCTCCCTCTCTTCCTCCCTTCTAGCGTATACGAGCTCGAGCTCGAGCGCGAGTTCGCGCTCGCGCGCACGGGTGGCGGCGGTCTCGTGCTCGATGACGCGGCGGCTCAGCATGTTCATCAAGACGCTGTTTGGCATGCTGGAGCGGGTGGTTGAGAGCGGGATTGTGTTCGGGAAGGGGCTCATCTCGGGGCGGGGCGGTAGGGTGTACGGGGCGACGCTGTACGGGTGGGGGAGTGCATGTGTTGGGCGCGGGGTCGGGGGGCGGGGTACGACTACTGAGCTCACTACAGGGATACTCACCGCGCTGCCGGGGGCGGGGATGGGTACGTTCTGGTACGTCACCGGGGCGGTGCTGCCGGGGCCTTGCTGACCGTTTTCGTTAGGTCTCTCGCCGATGCAGGCCGTCTCTTCGAAGATGAAGACGCCGTGGCCGTAGTGGCGGTAGTCGCCGACCGTCGCGACCACGTCCTTCATCACCATGATCTCGCACCGCTCGCGCGGGTCCCATGGTGACACGAGGTTCGTGAGGACGTGCGCGGACGCGGCGCGGATGTGCGGCTGGTACGATATCGGGGTGCTGAAGCGTCCGGTGCTGCGACGCTGGTGCTCGAGGATCCATTCAAAGCGGTCGGTGGCGAGGCGGTTGGGGAGGCGTAGCGGTGGCGGAACTGGGTGGAGGCTGTTCCCGAGGGCGGCCATGTCGCCCTCGTTTTGCGGACTGACCTCTTCCCTTTCTTTGCAGCGAGCTTTATACGCGTCTCGAGCGCACTCGTCCTTTCTGCATTGAAGTCTCGCGTCCTTGGAGGGCGCTCGAGCTCTTGCATACTGACTAACCACGCTTGCGTACACTACAGCTGCCTCTTTCGTCACCTGCGCCCTCGCTCGTCTCGGGGTCCTTCTCCTGGCGGAGTTGTGGGTCCATTCTCGGGCGCTATGCCCGTGCGTCGGGCTCGTGCCCTCTTCCTCGGCTTCGCTGGTACTTCTTCCTCGTCGACTCTTTTGTCAGCGGTCCGGCATTCTTCCTCTCCGGCTACTTCTTCTCTATTCCTCCTGCACTGCCTCTTTTCTTCATCCCTCCTCTGCTTCGTCTCCATTCTCCTTCTTGGTGCCGGTTGGACTCTGCTTTTGTCCCTCAAGATCAGGCCCTCGATCCCGTCAAGATTCATCCCTCCCCCTTCAAGTTTCGGGGTGCGAACTGCCTTTCTCGACACGGCTGGAGCCGTCGGGGCACTTCTCTCGTGGAGTACAGGTTCCGCGCGGCGGGCGCGCCCTTACTAGCGGGTACGGCCGGTCCCGTGCGGGTCCGCGCTCGCTTTCGCGGGACCTAGCTAATTGTCTCTTCGGAGACTTTTCTCCTTTTCAGGTTGCCTTCTTCGTCAGGCTTCGCGGGTCCTCCTGTGCGCGCGCGACCTTTTCGGCAGGTCCGCGTGCTCGTTCTTTGGTTCTCCTTGGTCGCGCGTCCCTCGCCATCGGGGCGCGCCCTCATCGTACTCGTCATCTTCCATTCGCGCGTCCCTCGCCGTCGGGGCGCGCCCTCCTTTTCCTTCCCCCCTCATCTCTCTTTCATCTGTCCCCTCTTCTGTCCCCTTGTCTCTTCCTTGGGTGGGTGGGTGCCCTGGTCGCTAGGACCCTAATTTTTGGACAACCACCTTCCTCGGAAGCGTACGTATGGGGTCGCGGTCGTCTCTATTGTTTCGTGGCGGGGTGCGCGGACGTGCGGGTGTCCGTGTCGCGGCGCGGTCGTGCGCGCGCGAGATACTGACATCACACAGGTCTTCGGCACGTGACTTGGCGCGTCGACGCGTCGTGCGTCGGTGCTTCAGTCTTCGGCATCTCGGCGCGCTTCTCGGGCGCAGTTGCTAGCGTTTTTTATTGACTTCCACAGGGCCCGTCCGCGTTGTTGGGCGGGCATTCTTTCAGCTCTTCAGCTATCAATAGGGGCCATTGCTCATTGGGAGCAGACCCGGTAAGTCCTTTATTTTCTTCGTCTCTGTTCCTACGCGAACGTCCGCTGCACATACCCGGTTGGTGTGGGTGCGGTGACGGCTGCGCCGTCGGCGCGTGCATCCTCGACATTTGTCGTGTGGGCACGTGTCCCGGCCTTGTCGTGACTGCGCTCGTGCTGACTTGTTCGTGTGTTTGACCGTCCGTTTCGTAATGCGGTGGTCCTTCGCCCCTCAGTCGGATAGACTGGTCTTCGCGGGCGGCTACGCTTCTTCTTATCGGCTAATCCACGTGCTCGCTCTGCTGCGCAGCGGGCGCTTTCACGTTTGCGAGTCGT